TGACCCCAAGCTGACCTCTGTGACTTGATGTGTCCAAGATGACCTCCGTGACCTCCAGTTGAGCTCTGTGATGACCCTAGGTTGACCTCTGTGACCTGACGTGCCCCCAAGTTGCCGTCTGTGACCTGGCGTGTCTCAGATTACCTCCGTGGTCTCCAATTGAGCTCTTTGATGACCCCAAGTTGACCTCTGTGACCTGACGTGTCCCAGATGACCTCTGTAACCTCCAATTGTGACCTCCATCTACAAATTTCTTACCTCTCTGTGACATCAAACTCTCGGAACTCATTTCTTCTAAAGCATCGATTCTAGATGCCCTATAGCCACGAATCTCCTGTGATCGATCCCAAATTTTATGGCAAATCACGTGAGCGTTAGCAACCACAAGTCACCCAGTTAATACAAAGCTTCAGAATCAGAGAACATGCTTGACCTTGCTGTCTCATAAGCTCGCAAACCAGAAAGGCGAATGTTCCTTTATGCGTGATAGAGTTTTCGACCTTACTGACGTTTACTACGGGATCAGCTGATCGTGTAGCCTTTTAAATTCTCGAGTAAAGCGGGTATTTAAGCCTCGTCGCAGCTACGTTCTGTCGTATCCTCCGACAAACCCCTCTTTCCTCAACATCCCTCCTTTTCCGCTACGACACAACTTGCGACGGCATATGTGTCGTAACTTGCGACGTGTCGTAGATGGACTTGCGACGCCCTGGATCCATTTTTTAGCAGCTATTTGAATTTCGCGTCTGTGACGCCGAAGTCTGCCGTGCAGGGGTCTATAAAAATCGACCCTATGACGTCATCAAGGGGGCTAGGTTCAATTTTGTTACTTTAGAAGATGTCCAATTGATGGGAGAAAGGGTGCTGAAAGTTTCGCTTTCCTATCTCTGAGCGTTCGGGAGCTATCGCAAATATTCGATAGTGGGGGGGGGGGGGGGGGCGAAAAACGCCCCCGGGCCTGCGAGGGTTAACCTTGCCTACGTCGTGTTCCTGTCGTCGAGACGTGTCGAATGAATTATAATGTGACCCTAGAAAGTCATTTTGAAATTTTACACCGGCAAAGGTCATGTTGCATATCAGTTGATTCGTATTGTCGAGCTGAACATATCTATTATCCAAGGTGTTTTCATCGCTCTAGCCTATCTCTAACAAAAGTTATTGCAAAAACTGCCCGAAACTTTTCATGACTTGGGATGGCTTCAGGGGTGTAAAGAGGGGTCACGGGTGCAGTTTTCCGATTCAGTCTTATTCAGTGTTTGATATTGTTTAGCATGACTTTCGTATACAAAAGGAGAGTAGTTCAATTTTCTCCCGTTGGCTTATCATGAAAAACTAGCAAAATCGACCTGAGGCCTGTTTCACTAACAAATAAAACTTGTATTTACAAAGAAAAAGCTTGAGTTTACAAGAAATAATTACCAACATTTGAGATTTGGATTTCACGAAACCTTTGAACATGAATTTTGAGTTTAAAATTTGCAAACTTTTTTACAAGAAAAAGTTTGCTAGAAAACATGGGATTCGCAAACTTTCTGTTTCACGAAGACCAGAAACTTGAAAGAAAACATCGTAATTACAAACCTGAAATTCCAGTGGTCCTGACGTTCGGAATTTTGATACTTTTTGTGCAATAATGCAAAACAGTCATATGTTTAAAACAACTATGCTTTGTTGAGTCGTTTCATGCTCAATTTTTACTTAGCACACACCCTAAGAAGCAAAAAAATCGGTATTAAAATATCGTCATGTTTTGTCATTCGCGCGTCATAATTGCATTCAACAGTATTCTGCTGTCATATGTTTTGCGTGTTATTTTCTTTCAATAATAGGACAGTGTGAATTATCATTTATATCTTTTTCCAACAGCATCATTATTTATAATTTAATTAGGCAGCTTTTGACATGAATACTAGACAATATTTGATACAAAGAAGCAATATCTTTAACATGCTATAGTTCTTGATTAAAAACATTTTTACTGCTTACAAGTTTATTTGCAAACATTTTCTTATCGGAGGTGCCACTGGCGATGAAGCTTAGTGAAATCGGTTTTTACGTAGTTGGTAAAAATACTTATGAATTGTAAACTACAAACACTTGTAAATACAAGTTTTTAGTGAAACAGGCCTCTGGCCTTAGGTCACTGATATCGAAATTCCGAGACCTTTAATTTTCACACTGATGAGCTTATTAACCCGCGCCCTGCTGGGGGGGGTGTTTGAACACCCCCCCCCCCCCTGTGGTTTTTCGCGAATATCTCAAAAACGGCGGCGCGGAGCGCCGCCGTTTTTGGTACACCTTATCATACATCAATTCTACACATTTTGTGAAAATTTCAGACCAAGGTCATTCAAGGTCAGGTCACCAGGTCACTTGAAGTGACCTCACCTCATAAAAAGTTTCAATGTCTGTCATAGCTACACCGAGTGACCGATCGCTTTGAAACTTTCAGCGATTGCTAAGAGTAATAGCATGTACAAAATGTATATCTCAGAATTTTGATATCGATGACCTAAGGTCAGGTCAATTTTGCGACCTCCCCATTATAAGTCAATGGGAGAAAATTGAAAAGCGTCTGTTTTGGACAAAAGACATTATAAACACTCCCAAACACCGAATTACAAGTGTTTTAGACACAATGAACATGAAAATGGTGTCTGTGACCCTTGTTTATGCCCTGAGGTCATCTTAGGTCACGAATGGTATCTAACAGTTTTTCGCAAATAACTTTTGATAGAGCCATGCTAGAGCGATGAAAACGCCTTAGATGTGTTCAGCTCGACGATACGGATCGACTGATATGCAACATGACCCTTTCCGGTCAGGTCATGACCTTGACCTGAGGTCAAATTTTCAAGTTGACCTTTCAAGGTCAACTTATAGTTCATTCGATGCGTCTTGACGAGAGGAACACAATGCCGGTAAAAGTAAGCTCGTACAAGGCTTGGGTCAAAAGTTATTGCAGAAAAACTGTTTCCGAAAAAATCGGCTATGTTTGCAGTTTTTGCCCCCTGCAGGCAAAACCGTTGACGTTAGGTCAAATCTGAGAGAATTACTCAGAAAAGGCGTTAAAAGGGCTATCGAATGCGCTTTTCCGCGGCGCTGTAGCTCTATTGGTTCTCGAGTTATGCGTTAGCTTCTTGGAAATTTTCGACATTCGACCTGGAAATCGGCGAAATTTTGCCTTCAATGACCTCTGGTGACCTGACCTTTGACCTGACCAAAAAATTGACCGAAGTGATTTCGTCATTATTTTTGACGCTCTTTCGAACGCCGCCTTCCGCGTATCGCTACGTGGCCCAGGAGCCGAGTTACAAGGGGGGGGTGTTTGAACACCCCCCCCCCCCCCAGCAGGGCGTGGAAATCCAGGACCCCCAGCCGGGCGCGGGTTAACCGCTGAACATTGAAAGCAATCGGCCAGTCAGTGTAGCTATGACGAGCAGTGGAGCTCCTCAGTTTTCTGAGATATAGCGGTCACTTGACGCGCCCTGGTAACTTGAACTTCAATAGCCTGGGTCTGAAATTTTATAAACATGTGCAGAAAATATGTATAATAAGGTGGGCAAAAACGGCGATGCTAAGGGCGCAAAGCGCCGTCGCTTATGACATACTCGCGAAAAACCTGTGGGGAATCGCTTAAAAACGCCCCCACCTCTCCCCAGCACGGCGGGGGTTAAATGCTATAAGGAACAAAGCTTCTGAACAAGACGATACCTGCATTTGAAAAAAAAATATTTACACGATGTTGTTTTTTCTGCTATTGCTCAATCATCTATTCCTATTGCAGCTCCTGTTATTTTTTCAGTCACTGAATCTGTTTGTTTGCAATTTTACACCGATGCAGATTGTTCAGCAAAGTTACCCTCTTGCCTAGGTTTATTCTTTGGCTATTGAAACAATGCCCTATTTCTCAGTCGTGCGCATTGCGCAATCGGTGCTGCCTTCTCCGTATCTGCCGATAAATTCACTGGCTTCTCGTAAATCATAAGCAAGAGTGGTTTAAAAGCAGCCGCAAGTGGCATTCATGTCACGCAGGACTGGGTACGGTGTCTCTAGACCTCCTGTGTGCCAGAGTCAGTGACCCTCCGTTGACAACCTGCCATTTTGGCTTTTGGGTGTGTGTGTCTGTCTGTCTGTCTGTCTGTCTGTCTGTCTTTCTGCCCGACTGACTGACTATAGGTATGTCTGCCGATTTGTCTGCCTACGTCTGTCCGTATGTGGAATTCACTCGAGACCATATCCTTCATCAGACCCACCCACAGTTTTCTCTATTGCTCTGCACTACCACTTCGTGGGTAGTGCAGTATGTGAGTGGAACAATCGAATCATGGTGAATGCCATTCGCGGCCCCAAAGTCGGCCAACTGAATATCACATTTGTGATTCTAAGACCTGACCTAGTCGTAAATACCAAGGGTCCGCGAGACACAGACCGCTCCCCTGATCGACCCGCGGAGCCGCGTATGCAGTGGCACTGGCATCCCATCGCAAGCTGCAGGCGCGCAGCTTGCAGTTCGGTTCACCCCGTCCCTGCATACCATCAGCATATGATGAGCCTGCACACAGAGTGCACTGTCGTGCACAGCCAACACCGGACAGATAGAGGCACCTGATGAGGGTTAGTGTGCCACAGGAGATCGATGGCCGTCCTCGGCGCGGTGTTTTTGGGAGAGGACCTCAAACAGATGTCGAGACCATCCTGCACATTTGATGAGACAATACGGTTGGCTTGGGTATTCCGGATGTGTTGCATCATTCTTTAGTGATGCATAGGATGATTAGTAAAGCTTCTCTCACCATTTCTACGTCATCTCTGTTTTCTTCCTCCATCTGTTTGCTCCATCTCTTTTTCTTCCTTTCTCATCTCAATGATTATTCTAGTTCAGGGTCTGTATCGATTTGTAAATTTACCATTACTGACGATTCAATTTAGACATTTCATTGTCGGTCCGAGCCGGGGATAGTCCTTCGAACTGGCTGCACCTCACCGTTTGCCCCCAGCCGGCACCAGCCTGGACCCCGCACCAGTTGCGGAGGCGGACCCACCCCCAGCAGCAGACGCTGGCTCCACCAGTAAACCGCGACTGGTCGTACTCTACTCATCGAACCCTCGCAGCGGCTCCAGCTTCTTCGGTGAGTTCCTCTAATACACTTACATACCGTAACTATACTTACTACTCAGCTTGCCGTCCTACCATATAGTTGACGATAACCATGTCGCCCATGCTTCTAACAGTAGAAGCATAGTCTACATAACAACATTCCGTTTGCGCGGAATATCGTGCACAGTGTGCAGTTGCACAGACAAAATGTTTCACCGTCGAAGAGTGGGGTAGTGATGCAGAACTATTGACCGTCTTGTGAATATTTTCAGATTAACGTTATGCTAAATATTTGTGACCCGCTGATGTGTCGTTCAACGTGTTGGTGCCGATAGACTGATCGTGATAAATATGCCATTTGATTCTCGCATATGTTGAATCCCGACAACCTCGCTGGCCACACAGTGCATGAATATGCAAAGCATTGGCACCGTTAGAGCTGCTGTTTCAACACTGAGCACATGTCTCCTACAGGTGAGCTCCTGGCAAGTCCTGCCGGTTCAATGTACCTGTATGAACCATTGCACTACGCTCAACTAGTCGGCCACCCCGTCCATAAGGAGTCGCATCTATCGCCCGACCGACAGACCAGAGACTTTGTTCGTCAGGAGCTGCTTAGACTTCTCACGTGCCAGTAAGACATATGTTTATTTGTGTACTGTGTTATCTTGTACATGCCTAGTCCATGTCCAAACTAAGTGATAAAAGGACAATTCCATGTAGCATCAAAGCTTGATGGGAATTTTCCGTGTTTAGTTGTAAGTTGTAACCACTTATCACATTGTGTTAGTGTAGGTATGTATAGTGTGTAGTGTTTACTAATACGCATCCTACACTTTTTTAGTGTGTTGTACGTGGCTTTCTGATGCCGCTCTGCAAAAAAAACATACCTACATATTTTACGATCCACGGTATATAAGCAAAAACAGAAAATGAAAAAAATAACAAGCTGATTCGAACTTCACAGCGACTAAAAATAACAATAAGTTCGAATGACAGTTGGAGATGCTTCACGGCGCCTATGGTATTGGGGAGCGACCAGTATGGCAATGCAGATTTACTCTGCAGCAGCAGTGACGTTAATTCACATTTTACTTACAGGTTCGAAGAGCAGATGTTCAATGAGTCGCTGAAGCTCATGATTTGGAAGAAGCCCAAAGTTGCTCCGATTGTTACAGAGAGCCAGCGTAGGTCTTGGTGTCTTGAACTTGATCTCAGGGTGGCTAAGGTGATTCGACCTGGACTAGGTGCCTTGCTACCGCTCTTAGAGGTGAGTCGTGCCTGCAGTGCAGTAGTGCCAGACACTTTGATGAAAGTTTTAGGCCGTTTTTGGTTCTTGAAATTAACATTTCTGATCGAATATACAAAATAAACTTAGCCTACCTTTATATTCAATGAATTGTGGAAAGCGTTTTACAACACCAAGCAACTCGATATAGCAAAGAATGTCGTATGTAACAAATCAGCCCGTAAGGCAAATCAAAACACAGCCAGCATTGTCTCACCTTCGCGTGTCTTTCAGCTGCCAGGCTACGACATTCATATTGTCCACCTCGTCCGCGACCCTCGGGCTGTCATCAATTCTCTACGCGAAAACGAAGCCTGGGCCAAGTCAACGACGGCCAACAAAGTGTGCGAACGCCTCACCGCAGACCTTGATGAGGCTGAGAGCATTTCGAGCCCTCGTTATACGCTAATCAGGTGGGTACCTTTGGGAGAATCACTGGATTACTCCTCTTTGTATCCCTCTTTTGTGTTTTTAATTTACTAACCACTTTAAACTAACGTGCCCAGCATGCGACTTCAGGCTGTTACATCGCAGCAGCTAAGTTTTCCTGTTGAAATAAACGCACCCAATTGGACAGGTCACTTAGCCACTTATGAATGATCCTATGGAAGATCATCTCCCACTGAAACTTCCCCCATCGGTCACCTGGTTAAGGTGTCATACCGACTGGCATCAAAACAAAGACAGTAAGTGTAATTGCTGTTTCAAAAGTCAGGAAACTGGTTGCTGCCTGTATCTTTGTCATGGTCTTTTCCTGGTCTCCTCAGATATGAAGATCTGATATCAGACACGACCGAGGTGACCCGCTTCCTCTTCAGTCGCATTGGAATAACGATGACGCCAGAGGTCAAAGTGTTCATACGCAAGCACACCAAAAGGTTTGTGGAATATCCAGAAAGATATATAGGCTATAGCCATATGAGCGATGTCAGCTAAACATTCGTCGTATATGTTTGCGAACAATATTGGTTTTTACTCTTATGGGTTCCTAACTACTTGCCTATATTGCTGAATTTCGTTAAACTCAATCCACTTTCGATTTATTATTTTGTGCTTTGTTTTGGCTGACGCCTACTCACCCATGCTAGCATTCTTAGTTTCCAGTTAGCAACCTATTTAAAATTAGTTGAACGGGTTTGTGCAAAAATGAAAGCTACTTATATCCAAATAAAGCATTAGCTACACTGTAAAAAATATTGACGAGCTATGTGTCAAAACAAGGGTCTCGAAACAGTCACCAGGTTGTCAATGCTTCCGGTACCTACCACTTGACTAGTTACCGCTTAGTTCGCTTACAGGCTGAGAACTATCCAGATCGTTATGATCCGGTATTGTAATGATACCCTATAGGTAGGCACATGCCCCACGATTAGGTAGGTACCTACTAAAACTAGTAGGTACTAGTAGGTACCCTCATACCCACTTGATTCGTTATTCATCGGTAGGTCCAGTGGCGTATCCAGGGGGGAGGCCAAGAGGCCATGGCCTCCCCCTTTGGCATCAAACATGCAAGTGGGCCCTTTGGGTCACTTGAGTGCAGTGACGTACCCAAGGGGGGCCATGGGGGCCCTGAGGGGCGCCCTGGTTACCTGAGGGTCCCCCTGGTCACCTGAGGGGTCCCTGATTAGCTGAGGGGTCCCTGGTTACCTGAGTGGCCCCTGGTTATCTGAGGGGCCCATGGTTATCTGAGGGGCCCCTGGTTATCTGAGGGGACCCTGGTTATCTGAAGGACTCCTGGTTACCTGAGGGGCCCCTGGCTACGGGGGCCCTGGTAACCTGAGTGGCCCTTGTTATCTGAGGGGCCCATGGTTACCTGAGGGGCCCCTGGTTTCCTGAGGTGCCCCTGCTTACCTGAGGGGCCCCTGATTACCTAAGGGGCTCGTGATTGCCTGAGAGCCCCTGATTTTCTGAGAAGCCCCTGGTTACCAGTGGGGCCTCTTGTTATATGAGGGACCCCTGGTTATCTGAGGGGTCCCTGGTTACCTGAGGGGCCCCTAGCTATCTAAAGGGCCCCTAGCTACCTGAGGGCCCCTGATCCCCTGGGTGACCCCTGGCCAGTGGTCTGAAGAAACCCTGGTCACCTGAAGGGCCTATGTTTACCCCAGGAGTACCTGGTTATATGAAGAGCCCCTGCAGTCACATTAAGGCCCTTAGTTACCCGTGAAGCCCCTGGTATAACCGTCCCCTGGTTATCAGAGGGTCCCCTGGTCAATTGAAAGACCCCTGGTCAATTGAAAGGCCCTGGTCAATTGAAAGGCCCCTGGTCATCTGAGAGGCCCCTGATTACCTGAACGGCCCGTGATCACTTGGATTCAATGGTATGGCCAGGGGCGAGGGGGCACGTGTCCGTTATAGGGTTTAGGGTCCCCTCGGGCCCGAGAGGACCTGCGGTGCCAATTGGCGGCAGAGGGCCCGCGCTGGCAACGCTTCAACTGGAAAGGAGACCACAGAGCTTGTGAGAACACCCCATGGGCTTTTCTGTAGCCACACTTATCTCCAGAGGGGCCTCACGCCAGGTTCTGAGGGACCTTGCCGGCCTCTGAGGGTCCTTGAAGGCTAATGAGAGATCAGCTGTAAGGGCCTCATACCCGTTTGCTATGGCCCCACGGCCCACACCGGTGTTTCTGAGGGCCCTCACAACGGCGCCTGCGAGGGCCTCCACTGCCACCTCTAAGGGCCCCACACCACTCACCAGTGCCTTTTAAGGGCCTACTTCGGCGGCTCTGAGAGCCCCCACACCGGCGCCTCCGAGGGCCCTATGCAGCGCATCTGACGGTCACTTACCAGCGACTCTGAGGGCCTCTTACCGACCTCTGAGGGTCCCTTGCCGGCCTATGAAGGGCCACCAGTAACTTTCAGGGCCCCACACACGCCTAAGTGATGGCCCCCACCAGTGTCTCTAAGCCCCAAGGCCCTCACAACGGCGCCTGTGAGGACCCCACACCAGCGCATCTGATAGCCTTTTACCGACACCTCTGAGGGACTAACACAGGTGACTCTGAGGCGCTCGCTCGCTTCACTTCCTCATAAAATACCGTGCATTTTATGCATACTTCTCAAGCAAGAAATGATATTTTTACCTGCCAATTTTGCACATTTTCTCAGGACTTAGACAGACAGGCAGACAGACGGACAGAGAGGCCCGTCTGCAAGGGGGGACCGGACCCACTGTGCCCAATCCCCTCATCGAAAGGTTCTGGAAACGCCCCTGCCTGGGTTGACAGCGGCATCCGGGTGACCCGTGGGCCCCTTTGAGAGCAGGCGGCCCCCTCCTGGGCGAAATCCTGGGTACGTACTACGTGCCTGCTTGAGAGTCCCAAGAGAAACGATATCTTCAGGGCCTCATCCAAAGTACTGGCCTAAGCATAACTAAAGTCAAACTGCGTCAAACTATCTTAAAATGCCATTTGATGGCGCTCATAGGCCCTCAGAGGCCAAGGCCGAGCCCCCAGAGGCTAGCGTGGGCCCTCAGAGGTCGCTTTGGCGGCCATAAAGAAGCTTACATGTACTTGAGCGTGGGATCCTTTGAGGCTGGTACTGTAGAGCCTTAAGGAGCCAGCGCTCAGCCCTCTAAGGCCAGCGTGGGCCCTCTAAGGCCATTGTGGTGTCTTCTAAGGCCAATGTGGGGCCTTCTAAGGCCAGTGTGAGGCCTTGTAAGGCCAGTGTTTGCCCTCTATGTCCAGCATGGGGCCGTCTATGTCCAGCGTGGGGTAGCCCAGCGACATGGGGCTTTCTTAGGTCAGATTGAGGCCCATTGGCCACCGAGACTAGCTTGGGGCCCTCCGAAGACAATGCGGAGCCCCTTTAGGCCAGTGTTGGGCACTCTGTGACCAGCGTGAACCATCTGCGGCCAGCGTGGGGCCATCTGTCATCTGACTTCAGACTTCAGAGACTGGTGCTGGGCCCTCAGAAGCGAGCGCGGGCCTTCATAGGCTGGCGTCGGGCCATTAGAGGCCACCTTTAGGGCCTCGGCAACCACTTTTCAGATCTTATGCATGTTTGGGCCCCTTGAGGTAGGAGTGGCCCTTATAAAGGCCGGCGTGGGACCCTCAGGGGGCATCATGGGGTTCTAGGGACCGGCGTGCGTTCGAGAGCGGTATAGGGTCCTCAGACTGACTCAAAGACTCCGAAGAGCCGGCGGGGGGTATGAGGTCAGCCATAGCATGGGTCTACTGAGGCCATTATGGGGCCCGCAGGCCAGCGTGGTTCACTCTGTTGCCGGTGTTGGGCTTTCCGAAGCCAGAATGAGCCTTCAGATGCCGGAATGAGGCCAATGTGGGCGACTTAGAGCCATCAGAGTCTAGATCAGAGCTCAACCCGAGTCGAACCCTCCTAAAGTTAAGGGTATCAGCCCTCAACCAGCGCAAGACACTACACTCAAAACTTTTTTACTACCTCCTGGAGGGTTCATTTTCATCAAACCAGCAAGATAAGAGTATATTGAAAGGGTAACTTTTTGCTACCATTATGTGCATAGTAACGGTACGTAGTTAATATGACCTTATTCGCCAGCGAAGAGTATTATTACCATGTAAATATCAATATTACTCTCGCGATCCAGAACATCACGAAAACTCTTTCCTTCTGGGTATCGTGACTCGTGTACAGATAGTCGTTTCATGCGTGGATCTTGTTTACCCTCGTGAAGATGATATTTGAAATGGAATCGCTCAGCCAATCAGAAACGAGATCGGCCGTTTGCGGTTTGAAGGCCGCGCGCATCTGTCAGTTTTCGGCCGTTGGTCTCCGAGAGAGGATGTGAGCAGTGTCGGTGCCGCGCGGCGTGGCCGTTGGTGATTGTGCTCGCGTGTTGTTCATCGCCTAGGACATTTTATTGTAAGTACCGATGTGCTAGAGCATTGCATGCCGTTGGGTGGTGCTAATTTGACCTGGTTAGCAGGACCCCGTGCACGGCCACGTGGCCTAGGTTGTGAGTACGTACATTAATTTTGTTGTGATGCTACAAGTTTATGCATTTTGTTGGTGACTTTGAAAAAGCCTTGCACTGTAGTGATCCAGTCTCATTATCTCACGCAGACGGGCGACCACCCAGGAACGCCGTCGCTCTCTTCAAATATTGTGCGCTGTGCCTTATCCAATATGAGGGCGCTGAATGTCTTGTATTCACATTCAAAGTGCATTCAAGTTGTATCGTGGTGTTTATTTACCGCTTGTGCATTGCTGAACGCTTCGTATAAATTCGTATGCATAAGTGAAGAGTCTCACAATGTTCATGGCTGGTGTGCCCCTCGTATTGTTTGTACGGAAGCCAAATATACATTGTTGCTCTTGAAGCATGTTTTTTTAGTTGGTGAGCTCCGGTTAACAGAAGCTTCGTGAAGCTTCTGAAGCAAGCGTCTGTGAGTCTGTTACCATCCTCTGGGGGGTTTACACTAAAGGAAAGAGTAAACATTACCATGTGACAAAGGGTAGGCCAGAAGAATATACTCTCTGTAGGAGGGTAAAGCACAGAGTAGATGATGCGTTACTCCCTAGAAAAGGGTTCCGTTTAAGATTTACCCTTTCAAAGAGTGTAACCCAAAAAAATGTTACACTCTTGACAAGAGTAAATCAAAAGAGTTTACCATTCAGAAGATGGTAAAAAACGTCTGTGTGTCATTTTACCCCTCCCTGGCGAGTTTACTCTTCATGAAAGAGTAAAATTTACCATCTGGAAGGTGGTAAAAAACGTCTGTGTGTCAAGCTACCATGCTATGGCGGGTTTACCCTTCAGGAAATGGTAAAAAAGTTTTCAGTGTAAGAGATTGACATCTGCCCTTTGAAAAATGTTACAATCGTAAAAAATTGACAAAACATTTTGTTTTTGATAATCTTTAGTGGCCCCGGCACCGACCAAAGAAAAAAACTGTATGCCTACTGCTGAAATAAATTGTATGTACAGGGACCCGCAGTTGCTACTGTACAGCGACCCTGAGTAAATTGTCCCAGCACCCTCACAGGGAACAACGATAAGCTGTCAGAGGGTACTCACAGGAAACCTCAGCTGCTCTTGTACAGGGACCGGCAGTCGATATCAATGTTATCGGTTGTTACTGGACAGGACAGACGGTTAGACTTGGGGTTCGTGTACAGTAGCAACTGCGGGTCCCCGTACCTACACTTCATACAGAGCTATCGATGTCGATGGCTTTTTCATGTTTTCTTTTCTTTTTTAGATTGCCGAGTGTGCTTAAAAAGGCTCCCTCACATGGTAAAAGTGACACAGAACCGCACCTGGGCGTGGGTTAAGTGCGTCACTACTGGGGCCCCTAAGGTAAGGGTGGGGCCCCTTGAGCAGGTTTGGCCTCCCCTTTTCAAGATCCTGGATACGCCACTGGGTAGGTCAATCACCATCTGATTGAAGAATGCTGAATTGCTGGTTACAGACTGTTCCTTCCATCCACAGCTCCAAGGACCCGTCACCTTCCAAGCTGCTGAATCCCATTCAACGGCTTTACTCCAGCGTGAAACAGTCGATGACCTCACTACTGAGCCGAGACGCCGCACCTCCAGCCGCTGACAGCGACGTACAGCGGCTAAAGACCGAACCAAAGCTTCCTATGGTGGTCACCAGACGCCATCGACGGTCATCGAGGAAGCCGATCTGGAAGCACGGGGTCGACTTTAACGGCTACTACGGGACGTTTCGGTTTGCTGATTTCGATGGCCTACACTGGCTGAAGGAGCTACCACGGGCAGAGCGCACGAAAGCCGAAAAGGTGTGCGCAGACGCCCTCCGCAGGCTAGACTACCCTTTAGTCTACCCGGAAGAAGAAGGAGGCAGCGAGGGTCGGACCGGTCAGGCAGGACGCTCACAAAGCGACTCAGTGAAGTCGTAGGGCACGCTTTTACACGCAAAGTCCTATGAATATTTGGAATATCTGTGAGATTCATATTCGGCCCTCTCGTGCGTTTTTTTTTGTGATAGATAGCGACGATAGGTAGATGTATCATCTCCCAGGTCGCTTCAAGAGTAAACGCAGATGCTCCGTTCTTATTGAACGGTTCATACTTCATTGTTCAGATCTCTTCCATATGGAGGAGTATATATGTGTTAGGAATAGGATGTGAGATGACGTCAGTGCGGACCTTGATTCGTGACTAGCTTTAAGTGCTGGTCGTCCTGCTGCTGCTTGATAGTGCACAGCGGTCCATTACCTACTGCGAATACACTAAGTAAATCGCATTACAAACGGACATTTTACTACAGATATTGGCTATATCGGCTGCATTCTGTGTGCAATTTGCTTTTACCTAACAGTTCAGGCACATGCCTAAGGTAAATTATTTATCATCATAAGATTCGTGCAATCGATCAGACTAATAAAAAACAAGGTTGTTGTATGCTCATAATATCCATATATGGTATGGGCAAGGAAGGCTTTTCAAAATCATTATACCTCGTTATGCATTTTTTTATTTTGTTGCGATATTTTTGTGTTCATCACATGCGGGCATAGCTGTGTAGGGATGTGAGAACAATTTACTGGAATATGCAATAAACTTTTTACTGTAAGGACAGGAAAAAATTAGTTTTCAAATCGATACTAATTGTTTTACTAACGATGAACACCGTAGAATAATGCACTGCTGATCCATTGACATCGAAACAAAAAATATCAGCGCCAAATACAAACACAAATCGCGCTCAGCTGCGGCCTCAGATATGTATGTAATGAACATACATATACCCGGTGTAATTGTCGTATGAAACGACATAAAGGGTGGAGTCGACGTGAGTGCAGGCAAGGGACCACCCAGGACCCAGGAGCCCAACCCAGCTGTCATGATGGTCTCGGAAGAGGCGGCATTTCAGCGTGCAGACCCAGCTAACAAGCGTCAGTTGGAGCCGAGAGCCGGTCGGCGGATCCCGGCTCACTAACAAGCACTGTTGCCAGCGGGGGCCTTCCCACAGAGGGCGTCGGCATTTCACCGGACTGGTTGGCCGGCTGGTTAGGTCAGCGGCGGGGTGCTGACAGGTCATCTGGTGAGATCAGCAGTGGACGGAGGCGTGACAGCTGGTTAGATCAGCATTGAGGAGCTGGTCAGCATGGTTAGGTCAGCGGACGGGAGCTGTCTGACCACCTGAATACCTATATCAACACTCAGCTCAGCGAGTTGCTGCATGGCCAGCTGGTTAGACCAGCAGCGAGGTGCTGGCAGGTCAGCTGGCTGGGCCATCAGCGGGGTGCCAGCCGGCTAGTAGGAGTGTTCATACAAGTGTAAATGGTGAGGTGCTGTCGCTGACCGGATAGCTGGCTAGGTCAGCATTCAGCATTGCTGAGCGGCCATTTGACTTGAGCTGCAACGGCTGGCTGGACTGCATGCCACAAAATAAATGTGTGGCGAATAGTGATAACAAAATCAAAAGACTATAACAACCATGAAACCCGTTTTGTAGTGAAATCGATGTAGCAAGATATAGCATGGTTGCTATTTAAAATTGCAGTTTTCATTCAGAGTAGCTTACAGGCTACAGCCGCCCAGTGTCTTACTTCATTGTACCGAAGCATGACGAATAATAACTGTGCTGGCACAGTGCAGCCTTCACTGCAGATGACACCCCATTCGACACAGCCCGTCCTCTCCCCATCCGTCCCCCAATGCCCATGGAGGAACAGCCGTGACCGCTCCCCACACGGGCCGACGCTCAGCCCCTTCTCGGGGTGGTAGAATCATGTAAATCCAATCTACCGCCCCAAGTAAACACAGCCGCTAGCCAAACTTCGAGCGAGACCAATTGAATTTAATGGCGGCGTCTCAGGAGAGAGCCGGGTGCGAATGTGACGCACCAGTGACGGGCCTGGAGTCTCGGTGGAAGCATAAGGTTGATGAGGTGATAATAAGACCTCATACAAACAATGCCAGTTGTGAGAAAGCTGCGGAATCTTTATGAAGTTAAGATTTCTGCAAATATTTCGCAGTACGCATTGTTATCAGGTTAAAACAAGGACAGGTGGTGCGAGTGTCATATGGTACCCAAGACTGGTGCCAAACGGGTTGATTATTTTTATTTGGTGCTTTGGAGCTGTCGCAGACGCAACTAACTGGCACCTACCTAATATATGGTCATCGTGAGGTACCGTCATGCCCGCTAATTAAAACCACTTCCTGCGGCCTTTTTCAGGGGAGGAAAGGTTTTATTTCCGGCATGAAATACAAAGACCGCTGTTAATAGGGAAGCAGACTTTCAAAATTACACATTCACTGGCAGATGAATAGACTAATGAATGAGTGTGGCTGGGCTTGATAATGCCCAATGAAAGGAATTTAATTATATAATAACGCGCTATATTACTTGGACAAAAAAACAATTATCATGAAAATGCCAGACGAATATCAATCATCAACATCAAACATGAAGCATCCCGATACTATGCAGTATGCATATAGCATGCACTGAATCGTTTGAACAAAAGAGAATGGCGAATGGTGGCAAATGACGAAAATGGAAACGGAATGTGCCATCAGGCCACTCAAGAGGATGTAACGTTAGAAGCATTGCGAGCCTAGCACAAAACTTATCTGCTTGATAGGCAGTGCAATTTCTAGAAAACTTTGAAGTCGTTCCAGCCCAAGCTGTGAAATATTTACAAAACATTTACAGGTATAGGTTTGGGATACGCAATGACGGATGCTTGGGAAATTAATTAGGGCTTAGGGAATTAATAAGGGTTACCGCCCACTGCGCCCTAAATCGACGAAATGTCAGCGTTTTCCTCGCATGAAAAGAAGATTAACAACTTCTATTCAAGTGTGTTTTTATTTTTACAGCAAGGCGAAAGGATGCGTGATACGACGGTTGTTTTTTTAATGGAGGACCCTTTTATAGGAGAAAGTTCCCAAGCGTCAAATCACTTTTCAAATCTGCCAGTGACAACGCGCTTGCATTCCAAGGGTGGATGAAGACTGGCCACTTGTGGACCTCTCTGGCGGATAGTTTTGGAACTAATGAAAGCCATGCGGCACAGTATGCATCAGGCGTCGACTTACACTGCCATCTAGCGACAGATATCGAGATATGAGTGCGGGATGCTTCAGGACCGTTATTAAAAAATCCTAATGATATTGTTGTATACTCTGCCACTGCAGAATATCCGAAAATTGTGAAAAAGAGAAACCAAGTGCCAAGAGAGCCAAGGGACAATAATTGGACATTTAGGTATTTACTCCATCACCGTATCGGGGCGTTTGATGTGCTGAAAGTTACCCTTGAACGATAGAGTAAGAGTTTGCTGGCTTAACTGCCTCCGCTGCTCTCTCTCTCTCTCTCTCTCTCTCTCTCTCTCTCTCTCTCTCTCTCTCTCTCTCTCTCTCTCTCTCTCTCTCTCTCTCTCTCTCTCTCTCTCTCTCTCTCTCTCTCTCTCTCTCCTTTCTCTTTTTCTCTTTGCAAGGCACAACCAGACTAAGATATCGCAAAATGTTTGAGGGGAAAACCAAATAAAATGTGTGTGTGTTTTTTTAAGATGGTTTTTGTGTGCGAAAATGATATAACCTTAAAACCGGATTTATTGAAAGAAAACGTCTCATCGCTTTCACTTCACACCTAGCACAGCAGACAGCTTAAACATCACAGTTGCAGCCTCCCTTATTGATGGCATGCTATCTATTATGTTGAACTTCATCGAATGCCAAAGTTCGCTGGTTATCACCTCATGATGCCAAGGTAATGATTTTTCTTACGATCTATTAGTCTGGGTCAGATTTGTTCGCCACCATGCTTTGCGGGTCCGGCTTAGGCTAAATGGAGCTCGAAGTGAGAACTGAATAAAAATGGGAAGTATCTTCAGACTTTCGCCCTCAATTTGTCGACCAACACAGCGAGAATTCTCTGGTGAGTCTTCAAATGGCAGCACGCTGATGGCGCTGCCAGTTTTCAGTGCTGCCATATTTGTCCCGGCCGGTTGAAGGGATGCGAGATTTATCGAAGGCAGAATGTGGGTATATGGTGCGGCGGATGATGGTCTTTTTATGAGTTGTCAGACCTCAGATCATCATCATCAGCCAGATCAGAGCCACCACCAGATCTGATGATACCCCTTCAACAATTCATTTCTACTGAGCCGATTCAAGGCACTTTTGTTTGACCTAACTTATCTAACAATGCTCTAAATGTGCATGGCTTTGGATGTCATCACCATCAGCATAATGTCTGCCAATTACTATCCAGGCTCGAGGCTGTGACACACCTTTTACGATCCGTGTTTTCATACACTTCAAGTAAATGCAATGCTCTTCAATATAAGTTATTTATAACCATTCTTTTTATCGCATAATCATTATTTAATCTCATAAAAACATAAATACCTGCTGCACTTATCAAACATGTCCATCGTCTTGCGAGCAAAAACTTAAATTTGTGTCTTTTCGGCTTTGCAGACGCAATTTCAGCACAACGAAACTGAGAGAGTAGAGCCCCTCAGGCTCTTCGCCAGCAAAACAATATTTCAGAACGACCAGTTTATGCTAATCCGAACGTTCTGCTGAGGAGGTAAAGAGGAAACTGGAATTTAGCCTCCGTAAGTGAGGCTCCCTACGCATACATAACAACACGGCCCACGTCTGTTTCAACAGTGCTATTTTCACAGCCATTTCTGTGCTGTGTGGTGTTATGCCAGATGCATTTTGTTTCACATAGTTGGTACTTTTCCTGGAGAAAAGCCAATAGTCGCAGTGGATGTTACATTTTCCGGACAGCCCGGAACACGGCAATAATACGAGTATCTGTGTAAAAGCTTTACAGTACCTATTACTAAAACTCATCCATGTTCATAAATGTGTTTCAAGTCATCTGCCCACAATACTTATCGGCTACCACATTTGAAAAGTATTTGGCAATAGTCTTCACTCTTCAAATGCCATGCATGTAAAAGAGCAAAATCTTCCATAAAGCTTCATGATTACGGATTCTCTGCATACAAGTTACCCGAATCCGAATCATTTCTCCACCCTTCATTTTAACAATCACGCACAGTGGCCTGTCGACGGAGGGATCGAGAAATTTAAATAAAAAACGAGTTTGCTGCACCTAGCCAGCAATGAAATCTGCAGATTCTGTTCATCTAAACTCAAATATCCAATGTCGTTTGGTTCAAGTCAACAAGAAGAAGTCAACCATAGACTTCTGTACACCGTTGTACAGAGGTCTGTATGGTCCAACATATGTTTTGCTAGTTTCACCTCAAA